TTAAAACCTGGTGTGCCTATTTTTAAAACCTGGTGTGCCTATTTTTACTTATACAAAACTAAATCGGTTGGCTAACAACCTTTAATTATTATAAATTATAATATTTTTTTTACGTATAATTTCATAAATTATTTTTTACGTACACATATACGGTAATGAAACATGCTCATATTTAAAAAAAAAATCTCCGAAATCATACATTCATTTGTTACACCGGTGTTCTATTCTCTCATTTATATTAGTTCAAACTAAACGGAAGAAGAGGACATGTCACAAACTCGAGATTTATAAAACACTGCGTACTGTACATTACAATAAAAAAAATTATATGTATATTCAATCCAAGTTTTACTAGAATTAGTATAAAAAAGTAAAAAATAAGTGTATGTTTTTTGCCGTAAAGATACAATGAATAGGTCTAAGAAAATAATTTATTTCAGTGTAACTCACGAATTGGAAACCACAAAATCGGAGTACGAGGCCCGTTTAGCCGAATTGAATGAAAAATTGGACGATGCGGAGCAGCAGCTGGCCCGCGAGAAAACCGCGCTCGACACCGAAAGGAAGAGAAGCGTTATACTGCAGGTAGTTTTAAAGGGCTCAGGAAAGGTATTTGAAATAACAATGTCAAAACTCACAGTCAAACAATCATTTATTCTGTAAAATTTGTACACTTGAAAACGTCATTTTTTACGAAGAATCAAAAAAGGAACGGGCAAGAATCTCTAGGGATTGCTCTTTTCAAATAAACTTAAATGTTATGAATTACATATGGAATTGTAATTGTGTAGAATCTAGACTCATGTTGTCTTTCCATACATTTTTTTCTAACACATATTCTTCAATCAATCAAAATACTTTTAATGAAGTTTTGAACTTAGGAAATGACAATTATAATATATGTTCCGGAATCTTATTGTGGAAACGTACACAGTTCCCCATAAAAGAATACGTTTGCCTTAGATAAATGAATCGCGGTACCGTGAGTTTGAGTTTAATTCTAAGAGTAGCTTATACATAAGGAGTACAGAGTTATCGGCTCACCTTGGTGACAAGTGCGGAAAGTATTTTTTCCCTATACATGCACGTATCTCCAAATTTGTGTTTTCTGCCGGTTTTCTGGGTTTTTGTTTATTATTTAAACGTGTTTTGAAACGAATACACGCCTTTACGAAATATATTTCGGGTTCTGAAAAATGATCTAAAGTTGTATGGCAAAAAAGAGACGCCAGCGCCATCTGTCGATCGACGGCGTCCTTCTGCCTGGACGGACAGAGCAAACGAACGAACGAAGGCGAATATATAGCTCGCTCGTCCGCAGGAGCAGCTGTCGGCGCGCGGAGACGCGTCGCCGCCGCAGTCGGTGGCGTCCGAGTCGCTGTCGGGCTCGCTGTGGGAGGAGGGGGGGGGCGGGCGGGGGGGGGGGGGGGGGCAGCGCGCTGTGCGTGGAGGACGCGCTGGCGGCGCTGACGCGGCGCGACGGCGAGCTGCGCGCTGCGGCGCTGGAGGCGGCCGCGCTGCGCGCCGAGCGCGACGCGGCGCGGGCGCTGCTGGCCGCGGCCACGGCCGAGGCGGACGACCACCGCGCGCTGCAGGAGCAGTACGACGCGCTGCTGCAGATGTACGGCGAGAAGGAGGAGCAGCTGGCCGAGCTGCGCCTGGACCTGCAGGACGTCACGCAGCTCTACAAGCAGCAGCTGGACGAGCTCATCGCGCTCAAGCAGCGCGCGCCGCGATAGCGCCGCGCCGGCCTCTGCGCCGCCCTCCGCCGCTCCGTCTCCGTCTCCGTCTCGCCGGGCGCCCGACGCTCTTCGCTGTGACGCGCGTTTCCTCCCGAAGCCGCTCCGGATTGCTCGTCCAGTTGCACGTTGCGTGTACGAGGGTGTCCGTTCCCCTCGTACGTGCTTTTCCAAAAGGAACAACGGCTCCGTCTACGCCTGCAGTAGTCGAGTAACAGAATTCGAAAAGTAGTTTTTGGGAGACAAACAAATTTTAATGTAGTGTAAAAACGGCACCGAATATATCAATATTCCCGTTTGATATAAAACACTTCATTACTTCCGACACATTTTACTTTTCGAATTATGTCATTTCATTGTTGAACATGTGAATACGTCTGCCGCCGCAAATTTATAAAAACAGCCAGTTAACGACTAACAAACCGCCGTGCTGTAATGACAAAAAGTAACTCTCGACCACCAGTCGCATTTATATACCGCATCGTGTCAGTGTCGGACTTCGCGTTATTTCTCTCATTATTGCTAAAACACTTCAAAAGAGTTAAAAGCACGTTGATTATACCCCTCAATATTTAGTAGTAACCTGTGTACTATTTTTCGAATAAGTAAATAATGTTACAAGGTCTCCGCTAAAGGCGCCACTTGCCATTCAATACTCGAAATGTTTATTTTTGAATATTGGTCTCCCGAACTGAAAAGCTGATATTTATAAAACGAACTTTCGCTTCGACTGTAAGAACGGCTAAAGAAGTTTTTCGTATTTACAAAATTTAACTTTACCTAAGTTTAATCAAGCAAGAAATTACGAAGTAAACACAAAGTTTAATTTAATTTCTTGCATAAACTTAGGCCAAGTCCGTTTTGTAAACGCGAATGCGAATAACCAGTTTAACCGTTTTTTGCTTAATTGATGCAAAAGTTCGTTTTGTAAACCTCTTAAGTTTTATCGACTGAAATTATAACATTTTTCTTGAAAAATTCATTTGATTACTAACGTAGCTAGTGTCGCGTGAAATAACATTACACTATGATCGTTAATTAAGACACCAATATTATTGTACGTGAGATACTATTCATGCATCTCGTAGAATGTGTTATTGTAAAATAGTTGTTATTACTTTTATTTTAATTTAGTAACGAAAAAAAATGGTAGCAACGTCATCCTGCTGTATTTCGATTTTAGTACATCGAAACATCGATTTAATAAGCTATGTTAATACTGTCGTCAGCTGAAAACAAAAATACTGTTTTTCGCAGTACGATCATATTATGTCTTTGATGGTGACCGTACATTGCCGTCGGCCGTGACTGGTCACGAAAGAATTTTTATCAATTGTATGTCACGAACATTTATTTTTGTTAATTCAATTTGTTCTAGTTGTGTTATAATTGGTGGATATTATAGGTATTTGAATTAGAGTTTGAAAAAGTAGCGATATCGGAGTCTCGTAATCAGAATATAACAAAAATCATAGAAATTTTGCCTCTATGGTCCTATCCGTACGGAGTGTCGACATTTCCTTTTTCTTATTACGCTTTTTTTGTATGATTGCTACCTTTCAAACTCCAATTTAAAAAATTGACTGTACAGATGTTATTAAAAGCTAAACCGCTTTATAAAAAGGGTGTAATAATATTAAGTAGTAATAATTGTTATGTAAATTTTTCAGCTTGGATTAACACTAAGGGAGGCGTATACCCAACGATGGGTTAAGTAGGGCTGTGAATGATAATGATGATAAGAAGCTAAAACTATTTTACACTACCCGCTCCCCGTAATAAATGCACGGGCGCGGCAACGTCCAGCTCTTGTCGTTGGTGTATCGTGCAAACACGATTGTAAAACATAACAGAGTTCTTAAATATTAATTAAAAGTGCACCATCCTGTCGCTGTTCATAGCTAGTCATAGCACACCTCTTTCAGTCGCTGTCCAGTCGAACCATCAGTCAAGTTTAACTTATGCGGTAGTCACAACGACGTCTGTGTTGATGGCGGATTAGGCGCAGGTTGTCATATTCGCAAAATGGCCGATAGTGAAAAATCACATTGCCGAAGATGCGCAAACGCAGTCACGTTCTGACATTATGTAAAAATATGTGTAATTTTAAATATGTATATTTTAATTACGACATAACGGTGTGTCGTTATCTCCCGTTATGAGGATTGTTGAATGTCTAGTGATGAAAATCTGTAATTTTAAAGAATTTTTGTTCCAGTGAAATAGCCTAATGTTAAATTTATTGTATTATGAGCTTGTATTAGTATTAAAACTGTGTAAATTGATATTATATAAATGAAATTTGCGGTAGATAGCTTCTGATTTGGAAAAGTGAGTCAAATTTATGTAAATAAGTTTTACAGTGCGTTGTTTAGTTCTACAATGAAACACTGTATGTTATTTATTACATTCCTATTATAAATAACTTCCCTGGTGTTCGTCGATTTGCATGCAAAGTATTATTTGCGCATTTTCACTTAACCTCAATTTAGTAACGGTTAATAGACTTCATGAGAATTATGCGTTAATCATTTGAATAAACTAAACGCTCTCATTCATAGTGACCGTCAGGATGGCTGGTCGTCTGTCGCATCTGGCACCGAGTGTATATTCAAGAATTACTACCTATTTAGTACTATTTACTACCTTTTGTAAATAATTTCTACCTTTGATATATTCTGAGAAAAAAAAATGACCAGCCATTCTGACGTCACGATGACTGCTCGCCACTTTGTTCAGCATGAAGGGAGCCGATTTTCCAGAATTTGGTAATACATATTACCAATAATTGCTGCCTATTTGCTACCTTCAGAATTAAAGGTATACGCTTCCTATCTGCATTAGATAAAAAAACCGACCTCTAAAGTACGTGGAGTTTGGCAAATAGATGTCTACTTGCCAAGGTTTATTGAAATCGGTTACCGAAAAGTGTGCAAACCCGGATTCATCCCCTAGTTCGCTACTATAAGGAACTTGACACAGGAGATAATAAAAATAGGTTCTCACTATTCAAAGTATATTGATAGAGAAAAACGCCTTAAATTGGAGAATAATAAAATCAACCATTGACGTACCAATAAATGGACGTCGGGTTCGCGCTAAAAAGTGTCCGCACCTATAGGGCGTTAAAATCGCATACAGAGCGTCAATTGCACAACAGTCTTTGTTTGTTCGACTGACAGCGCGGTTGTCAATCATGCAGTACCATATAATAATAACTTGTAAAAACACAGCAGTAAAGTGTAAAAACAGGATTTTGTATCATATTTTCACTAAACAAATATATTGCGTTATCATAGTTCTCATTTAAAAGTGTTCTTTTGTACAGTTTTATGGTATTTAATTTATTAAATTTATATATAAATGAATCGTAAATACAAAATACACAAGCACACTAAATAGTCAACTAGCTAATTGTCCTTTTTCTACACATTGCATGCGCAAAAGATGGAAAGAAACCCATTACGTCAATTTCAAGAGCTTATATAAACTTCTTGGTCATTTTCAATTGTTGGTTTTACGGCTTAGGATCTTGGGTCGTATTCCAGAACTCTACCCAATGCTCAAGTCAGGATTTGAGTATGGTTTAAACCACTCGAAATCATACTCAAACCCTGCCATTAGGGTCGGGTTTCCAGTGCTTGTGTTGCCAGTGCAATCCTGACTTGAGCATTGAAAAGAGTTCTAGAATACGACCCTAAGGGTCGTATTTACTCGATTGCACTGGCAACACAAGCACTGGAAACACGACCCTAATGGCAAGGACTTGAGTATGATTTCTAGTGCTTTGAATCATACTCAAGTTCTGACTTAAGCATTGACTAGAGTTCTAGAATACGACCCTCAGACTATTATCTAAGCTCTAAACCTATCAGAAGTCAAAAAATACATTTTCCCGAAATAACATTAGCTCGAATTTTCATTATGTCAAATGTATTTTTAAGGAGATTACAAAACAAAAGCTAATTTTGACTTTGTGAAAAGCATCAAAATTACTCGAAAGCGTTACGGTTTTATTATAAATTGGTCTTCGGAATTACGGATATTTCAGTTTACGTTTAATTGGAATATCGGTACATTTCTTATAGTACACGCTTATTTTCACATTTGTAGTAATATTTGTATGTATGTATCTGCCCAACTCTTATTAATTTTTTAAGTGAATTCGACATAATAATATATATAAAAATTAATTAATATTTACGATATAGGCTACTCCAGTACTCTTGTGTTCAAGTAATTTTCAGTCGAAGCTAAATATGGTGCATTTTGTTAAATTTCCAGTAGAAGCTGAATGTGGTGTTTTTTGGGGCCCTTAAATTGTTGCAAGCTAAATTAGGCAGTACTGCAATGACGTTACAATTTAAATCTGCAATGACGTTACAATTTCAATTAAATGTTTTAGTTTTTTTTATTTCGTTACATGTCACTACGTTTGTATAGGTTAACTTCGGACTTTTTTTCGTGGTTTTTGTATTAGACCCGACGTCCATTTGTTGGTAGGTCAATACTCCTTCTCCTTATAATAAAATTTAGGCGCTATTTATAAAAATGAATCTTCATGCGTGAACAGCCACCCTTATGATTTTCTTCAAAATTAAATGGGACACTATGGAGGTACCCTCTTTCCAACAAAAAAAGAATCATCAAAATCGGTTCACAAATACCGGAGTTATCGCGTAACATACATACAAAAAAAAACAGCCGATTTGAGAACCTCCTTCTTTCTTTTTAAGTCGGTTAAAAATATAAACGATAAGAAAATTTTACTAAGAAGTACCAACGCCTGCCCTTTGTATTATGACAATAAAAACTTGCTTTTTTAATTTAATCAAGCTCTTCGTAAAATTTTAATCGGTTTATATTTTTTTAAGTAATGTAGATAAGAAGCGTATACTTTAAATTCGTGAAGGTAGCAAATAGGCAGCAACTATTGGTAATACATACTTCTGGAAAATCTGCTCCCTTCATGCAGAACAAAGTGGCGACCAGCCATCCTGACGTCAAAAAGGCTGGTCAATTATTATTTTTTGATTTCTCAGAATATATCAACGGTAGCAATTATTTAGAAAAGGTAGCTATTTTTTAATGTACACTCAGTGCCAGATGCGACAGGCGACCAGCCATCCTGACGGTCACCATCCATAAGTGTCTCCTATCCATTATTCAAAATACAGACCACGAGGAAGTCCAACGTCCGATTGTTCGTGGAGTTAAACAATAACTCTTCAAAGTGCAAACTTTAGTGCTAGATCAGTAATTCAAGAACATCACAACTTTATTTTACACCTACAATATCCACTCACTTTTTGCCTTTTTGTCGTATTATGATAAATTTATTCGTTAAATATAATCTGTAATTTGTTTCTGTTATATTGAATGCCATAACTATTTGTAATTACATCGGAAGTCATACTAAATTGTTATATTATTAATTATTATAGAATTTATGGTACTGCAATCTTTAAATAAACTTAATGAAAATCCTAAAAACAGCAGTTCTCTTTTAATTTCTAGACTCAACCAGACTGTCGGGTTTGCATTCCGGGAAATCCGTAGACGTGGCTGAATTAAATAGAAATAAAACCACAATTATGATACGTACACCATTTATTAAACTAAGAATATTATAATGAAGCCACAGACATAACAACGGTGAATGCTGGCAAACGTTGACAATAATTGTTATGGAATATTATTATTCACTTTAGATGCGTTTCACAAGATTTTTTGTTTTATTTATGAAATTCCAGTGTTTCAAGATAAAAATGAAACCATTTTGAAGCTAAGCGCCAATTTATTATGTATTGTAAATACTTTTCCGATTTAAACAATGGAAGCTGCGTGATAGGTATGTACCTACAGTTTTTAAAATGAAGGACAAAAAGATATAAAAGAATGTATTTTATAACGCCAAAACGAAGTGGTACGTTTTAACACATTTTTCACTGCATTGGCTCCTTATTGGGCCCATCAATTACTAGTTATATTCTTGTAAATGGTCTTTTAGTTAATACATATTTGACTATTGTCGTAGTTCAGGGCAACATTGGTTGTAGCTCGTGTCCATTTCATGATGGCAATGAGCTATATTCATATATAAAAAGGTGGATTGGATATATTTTGAAAGCTGAGTAACATCGTACGACGACGTGACGTTAATGTTGACTCTGTTCGTATTCTCACAAAGATATATTTTTCATTTCCGTAAAATAACCTTTAAAACGACAACTGCAACATCGAAATCCTTTGACGGCCTATGGCTCTCGTTACTTTTAATAATGTTGTCCTCCAAAGTAAAAACTGTACATAACAATAGTGATGCATTCACCGCAACTAACAGATAGACTGCCGAGTGAAGAAAAAAAAAAGAGTTAATTTCTAACACAATCACACACCACACACTCATGAGGAATTTATGCGGGTATATTTTAATCGATTATCCACTCATTTCCTGTAAGTTTTGTTCAAATATTTGGTCTTGTTGAACCTAGACTTAGATCGATTACGTACTCGTACGATAGAAATGTATATGAATTTTGAACTAAATAATTTTAAATAAACGGACGTTTGGCCAGCACTAGTAGTAACACAAATATTCCTTTATAAGTTGTAATTATTTTATATAGCAGGAATTACTTCAAATGTCCGAATCCACTCGAGAGATTATCTCTTAAATAATGACATTGTATTCATTGTACTTGGTATTGTTGTTTTCTTTGGGAGTTTTATTACATAATAATTTTTAATGAAAAAAGTAAAGAATACACGCGATATTGGTATATTTTAAGTTCGTGTAATACATTGGGTTACTTGAAGTTATTTCAGCCTATTTTATGTTTCTAAGTAGTTAAATATACTTAGATTTTTTATTATTCTAATTGTTATTTGGGACGCAAAAGATTCATAAAAGAAAAATATCTATTATTATCTGACATTATGACACCAATCACTAGCACCATGAAATCGCAAGTAGCAAATATGGTTCATAACAAGTATCAATATGTTGCCCGTCATTATACCCTAACAGCAACTCAGATGTTAATTTCAATTCAAAATGTGGCGAACGAACCAAAAAGAAAGAACCATTTTAAATTGAACCTTCTAGCAATAGTAACAGTAAAGTGGATTTGGATATTTCGAAATAATTCCTCAATATGCGAACCATGAACCAGAATGAGTCCATAATAATGAGTGGTCGTAAAAGTTCTGTTATAAAATATTTTTATAAGAAAGGCTTGTCATTGTTTGGCTATTATAATGGAACAGATTTTTATGTTTATATTAAATACATAGTTGTAATGGCCTAGAGGAACTTCTGATTTCAATGATTAATACACAATAATTAAGCGCAAGCCTTGCGTGGTTGTAATGTAAGCCATTAAGTCAAGTTGGGTTTGAATTTTTTTATTTAACATTAGAAATTGTAATGTAGACACGTGCTTTGCGGTGGGACTGATATACATGGCTAAAGTACACTATAGTCTGTCTTTTTTGAAGATGGAGTAAAATGACATATTACAGGGTTGCCAGTTTTCGTAAAATTTGAAATAGTCATGTAATTGTTGTCAACAATAAACTTTTATCGATAGATTGTGAAAGTAGTTAATATTTTGCCAAAAATGTCTGAATTTATAATGCTACGGCGCTGTAATGATTACAATGTTATTGTATTCTTTATTCTTATTTTGACAGTTGGTTATATGCGTATCGAAATCAATATTAACCAATAACGACAGATGGATTTCATTATGTATATTCAATTAAAATGAGAAATTTTAAAATATGTCTCCTATTTGTATTTTTATACACATACTGCTAAACTTGTGTGTATGAATTTTATAATCGTAATAAATTTGCTTTCAAATAATTTAATTCCTCTCTTTGGTCCTAACTGAAAACCAGCGCCTTAGGAAACTTTGGCATATGCTGAGTCAGCGCCGTTTCACTGCTATGACAATCATGTTTTGTTTTTTTCTTTTATGCTTAATCTGTACTTGTGTCAGTGAATAAAATGTATATCTATCTAATTTTCAAAAATACAATTCTAACGAACATGTGCCCAACAGTTGGACGAATAATTGGTCGATGATGGCTCAAATGAAACGAGTTCGGCTATTTATTTCATACGCGTAACTAACATTCAGTCGACATAATATATATCGACTGCAATTACTGGCTGCTTGCACTTACACTTTTACGCAGTGAACTGCTGTTTCACTCTATCTTCGAAAGACCAGACTATACAGATTACACATGGACTTATAAAAAGATAGTAAATTGACAGCTACTAATGTCAGTTTAAAAATAATGTTGCAAACTCCCTTAAACAGAGTCAGTTAAAATCAAAAGTTGTACGGATGACCTGGGGGGTGATTCACGTAATCAAACCATTACGACATCGTAGCGATTTAGTAGTTGAACTGCTTTTTCGTATTCACGTGTGAACGTCAACGAATCCAAGTTTAAAGTCGTTCGATCCAAGTGTCGTTAAAGCGTATTCTGGTTTATGAATCGAGCTTAAATCGATTCCTAAACGACAAGTCATACGTATTCTGCCAAAATTTTGACATTTCTTTCAATATACTTTCGACGACTTAACGACAATCCAAGATGTCGTTCATTAGTCGTTACGTTTCGATTCTATTCATATCGCGTTCGTTCATAAGTGAATACCAATTTCGGTCAGGACTTCGATCGAACGACTACGTAACTTCAACGATAGTTTGATAGCTTGAACTTACAGGAATCGCACTACTGAGCGAATCAGTGAAATTTATCCTTGTTATTGTATCAAAAACTCGTAAATTCACTAAACGTTAATTAAGCATATTTATTTAAAAATCTGCCGACAGTGTTGCCAACTTAATGACTTTGTCCCCTGCCTATTTTATAATAATTGGGTTTCATATTTAATATTTTATGTCTATGAATGAAATTATGTCAATACTCGAAATGATTTTATCTGACTTTGTGAACACGCCTCTCAATATGGTAGGTTCCTTATTTTAGATGAATTGATCTTTCGTCTGTGCTATGACCATAAAGTCATCTTGCCAATGAAATGAGTCATATGAGTAGATTTTTCATATGGCGTGGAAATTCTGTTTTAGATACAACTAGCGACTTTAAAACCCTTTGTCTAGCGCCATTTGCTTTAGTCTAGTTGCTAACACTGTCCGACGTTATAATGTGGTACCGACCCCGTGTCCTTGGTAAAAATTATTGTAGGGTTTTTGTTAACTTTATTGCATACTTATTGATATTTTATCGTATCATTTACCGCATCAATCTCGCTGTTCCTCTGTAGTGTAACAGGAAATGAGTTCCGATATACATTAAGGTCTAAATTAAAATTACATTTAGTTTGACAAAGGTTAGAATTTTGTTAATTTTATTCATAAATGTATTTTTTGTTATATAAGCATGATAATTTACGATTTGATGAAAATAGTTTTCTTACGTCTTAATGATCAACTTATAATTGTATGAATGATATTTTTAAGTTGATGATGGTAAAATATCGATTGTCAAGAATGAATGTCATTGCCAGTTTTTATCTTTTTTCTTTAGATCGCCTTTTGATGTCTAACCTTTATGAATATGCCAATTTCTATTTTAGGTATAAAGAAAGCTTTCTATATAGAAACAATATTCTAAATACTAAATGCTCGGCCTGCTGTTTCGGAATGGAAAAGTTCAGATTGTTTCCGACTAGTGTGGTATTTTTTCATCCAAACAGTGATTATAAGCATACCAGAATGTCGTGATAGGAAAAAAATAAGAATAATCTCATAATATGAGACCACCTTAAACTGGCATCTTTCATCGGTAAATAAGTATGTTTGAACGCTTTTGATACTTCGAAATATTGAATTTATGCATCTAAATTATTAATTAATTATAAACTGTTAATTAAGTACAATGAATACGTACTATGAGGTATGATGTACGCGTTCATCCCGATTTGTCATCACATTCTGGTACGCTTAAACACAACTTTTATTATTTGAAATTGCATGGTACCACACTCAGGTATTCCTTCCAAAAAGTAAGTTTATTGGTTTAATCTCCTCAACGTGATCTGACTTTTCCGCGTTACAATATAGTTGGTGCAATTAAAAAAATGTGATTTTTCCACTTGGTGGTGAATAAACTTGAGAACATAAGGGTGGATCCGATTTTTAGAGAGACTCCAAAATTGTATGAAAGTATATGAGAAAAGATAAAATATGATTTTAGCAAAGCAGGCCGAGCGACCGGATAAATAATACGACGCCCATTAAAAAATAAGATAGAGGTAAAGGATTAAAAAGCTAGCTTACTTCCTGTCGTATCCTAACACCGAAATCGCCCCAAAGGCGGCACTGCTCGGCGGAGGTGACCCCTCGAGGTGCTCTTTTCGAAAATTTTAAGATTGTTTTACTTAATTAGAAAGGAAGCGGTCTTCCCGGTGGAAGTATATGACGCTTCCCTTAAGTTTCCTCAAGCCTACGACCTTGCGGTAGTCGCTTCAACGGGCTGGATCTGCGCAGACCGAGTCTGTCGGTCGTCGTCGTGTCGTCGCGGCGCACGGGCCGAGAGGCGCAGGCGCGGCGGGGGACAAGGGGCCCCGGGGGCCTCGGCTAAGGGGCCCTCACACCCACGACATCCAGCCTTCGTACATCATGCACAGGTTCTCGGCGCTCATCGCTTCATTTATTATGTATTCCACCTGGACAAACGAATGAGGTCAGCGCGTGCCCTGTTGTACGCGTTGTACCTGCGCTGGCGCCTGCGAAACACTACCTGCTCGTGGTGGTTGGCCCTCCTCCCTGCGTCGGGGTCCTTCCCCTCGAGCTTGAGCCGCACGCGCTTCCACACGCCGGCGCCCTGCGCGTTGCGCTCGCCGCCTGCAACCGGTCGGTACCTCTCTGTTACACGTCTTTGCTCTCTTAATAGCTCTGTCTCCCTCTCGCCGACGAATGCTTATTACGGGAAACACTTCAAAGCAAGCGGAAACCGAGAATATTATTATTGATACAAAGGTTCCCGAGCCGACCGTACTCGAACGGAGTCTGTCGCCTCAATGTGGCTGCTGCTCTGCCTACTACTTCACACATAGACAGCCACGTTGAGGCAACAGATGCTTGTTCGAGTTTAATCGGATCGAAGGATTTTTTAAAATAAGTAAATAGAGCGCATTTGTCCTCCGTCTCACCTGATGAAAAGTGATGACGTGGTCTACGATGCAGCATATGCACACATAAATAATGCCTGTTCACTCCTGCTTTAAAAAAGCTCAATTATTATAGTGTTCGGGGAACAAGTCTGTCAAGTCCTTTGCCATTCGCCGTATAAACGTGGAAGCGTAACTCTTGCAAAATTCGCAAATTTATGGACTATCAACAACACAGATGTGGAACCCCAGCCTACATCTTGTCCTATGCAATTCCACCGTTGGGTAATTCTATTTATCACGGAGTGATAGTTGATTTGGGTTCGAAAAATTTCAAATAGTTGAAACTTTTTGGGAAAATTTACAGAAAAATTTGAAAAATATCATTTCGAAGGCTCGTATTATGTTCTACAGTCAGAACTATCTTTTGAAGCAATTTCAACCAACGTCAAATGTGAGAATACCGATAAGCATGTAACTTTACGGCGGTGTTCAAGGCTCTGCAGCATTGCCACACACGCAGTGATGTATGTGCGATCTCAACATTGTAAAACGGTACATAAATGGAATTCTTCGTGGGAGTCCTTTCGCTTTTTCATTGCACATATCAGGTAACAGCGATGGTTACAAGCAAAACTTAGTCATGTCATTGAACACTCCAAATCTACACCTTTTGCTAAATCATCTAGTGAGGTACAATTGTATTTTTAGTCAATTTGAGTAACATAACTATTATTTTAGTTACTACCATGGATCAATAAACTCAAGGGGTTTGCTAATTTCCATACTACAGATCGTAACCCTGAAAAAGGTCAAAAGGTGGCGCTGTTCAATAGCCTAGAAGTAGTTTATGTTATGTAAATGGCCGTGGACATCAATTAATTCCTCTTTTATATGAAATATAAGACGTCGTGTTGAAGGTCGACGGCTACTACTTATTTTTTAATAATTGCTTTTTCTTTAATTTAATTCTATTGCACTGTTTTACATTCGTTTGTTAACTATATACTATACATTGTAGCGTTTGTTTTTGGACGTGGGAAAAAGGACATTGTATATTTTGTTATTATTTTTGTTCCGAGTAAGTGCGCTGTTGTCAATAGCAATGTTCTCTTCCAAGCGTGCAGCGAGTGGCGGGTCAGTGAACGTTCTAACACGCGTAACATAGAAAGCGAACGTCCGTACCGTGGCGCGCGCCGGCGCCGTTCTTGGCGGGCGCGGCGACGGCCGCCTGGCGCGCGAGGCGCCGGCCGCTGGCGTCCGCGGCCCAGCCGCTCGGCAACCTGCGGGCGACACCGGTTAGCGGGCGGCCGGCCCTCTCTTCTCTTAGACGGGCGACGGCGGACTCACTCCAGCAGCGCGTCGTGCAGCCGCGGCAGGTCGTCGGCCAGCGCGGCCACGGCGGCGGCGGCGGCGCGCGCGCCCGCCTCGTCGTCGCGCGCGTGCGCCAGCGCGTGCAGCAGCGCGGCCACGGCGCG